AGCCACATACCTACCAAGTTGCTGGCAGTCACTAGGCCTGTTACTAACCTTTTGTGGAGCATGACTCAATGTTTTGGCAGTTGAGCTAGCATTTGAAGCAATGTTGAGCAAGGTCACCATTTCTGCCTTCTTGCATGAGGGTTAGTAGTCTCCTGTTTATTATCTTTGGCTGCAGTTTGAATCCAACAAACTCATCTAGCAGGCAGTTCTTGCTTTTCAGTGCATTTGTGTCAATACCTGAGCTTTGTGGCATTTGAAGTGAAGATTGTTCAGGTTAACAGTACTAACAGTAATAATAAGAGGACAGATGTGGAGCCATGGTCATAGGTCATGGCTTGGAAGTGGTGGGGAATGTAGTTTGGAGGGCACCAGGTTAGTTTTAAGTAGATTCGACACTTGCACGCAGCTTCTCCAGACATGGGGTAAGGTGAAAAGTAGAGGCACCAATTAGGAAAACGCTTTGAATACAATTTTGAACTGGCTTGAAGTTTTTAATAGCAAAATCTTACCCAATTCTTTATCAATTCTAACAAAAAAATTACAGACAACCATTGTTCTGCACTCTGTACCTCAAATGAACTTGTAATTGGAGTCATTTATTCACTAGAGGGGGAATCACAGAATCAATTGGAAGCTTAAACTAGAGAGACAGAGAGTTTGCCAGCATGGAATTGATTTCTAATGTGGGGGAAATAAGGGTCAAGACTGATTGCAGTCTCTTGTGTCAGTGTTCATTGCACATTGTGTAATAGTCCTCTGCTCAATGAGCCTTGTTTTTAAAAAGTTGTTGGTTTAAAGCAGGGGTGGGCAACTAGGTACACTGCAAATATTTTGGAGTACAACTCCCATAATCATACTGGTGCTTATGTGAGTTACAGTCCAAAATGCCTGAAGGATATCAGGTTTCCTATCCTGGTTTGAGTAATAATCATTAGGAATATTGCAGAAATATTCTTTGAACTCTTCAGGAAGGCTCTAAATCTAAAATAGGATCATGCTTTTCCTAACTAATATGTGCGTCAAAGGTAGCAAAATGGATGCATATTTTGGATGACTGATTTGCTGTATTGGAGTGCTTCAAATAAGTGTTCATATTTCACTTTTGAAGTCATCATATCAGGCTGCATCCAGTTATCCATTCTGCTAGTGCAAATTGTATTTCACTACTGGAATCCAAATTCAAGCTATGCACAGTTGGCAGGGGATACTACTAAAGTTTGATTGTGCAACAGCTTAAAGATCCTAGGCTAGTAAAGTGGTCCAACAGCATTTGTGCAACTGGAAAAGGCAGCAGAGGTTTGCTAACACCATGATTTCTGTTTTGAGCAGGTCACTTCCCCCTTTCTCTCTCCAGAAGACTCTAATGAAACTTCAGAAGTCTTGTTCTTTTATTAAAACTTAGGAGGTACAGAACAGTAGAAATCAGAATAGCCTTCTTCTTGAGGTATGGGAGAATTACCTGCCCATGTTGTTGTTGTTGTTGTTATTACATTTCTATACTGCCCATAGCTGAAGCTCTCGGGGCAGTTCACAACATTTAACTCACACATCCAGTTTTCAGCCAGGCCCAACGCTGCTTAGTTTCCAAGATTAGGCATGATCAGGCACTATATGTAGTCAAGTCCAGATTGAAACGTCCCCTCTTTCCCTCCCTTTCAATAAAACTTCAGACTTCATCCTTAGGGTGGTTCCTGCTGTTTGCAGGCTAGACAATGGCAATGTAGGACACTTCTGCTTACTTTAGTGTCATCTCCTGACTTGGGTCAAGAAGTTCTCCCTGCATTCCCTCCCTAGTCCTAAAAAGTTCTCCCTTTCCAAGGTGGGCTGTTTCTCATGCTCTGCCAAAGAAACTTCACTAGGTAACCTTGAGGCTGTCAAATGTCTGTGTCCCCACTCATTCCTCTACCTCCTCCTCAGAATTAGGTGGATCCATCTGAGCAGATTGTAATGTGTGTGAGGGAGGCCACTATCTCTAATTTCTTCTAGTAATTGTATGTCAAATTCAGGCCCAAGTAAAATAAATCCAACCTCCTTGTGAAAGGGGCCAAGAATGAACAAAGCCTCTCAAATACTATTCTTTATTAATAGGTGTTACTCAGAATGCTGCTGTGATTATCTCCTTGAAAGAGAATACTAGCTTCCTAACTTGTATAGTTTCTTTTTTTTCTTTTTTACAAAAGAAAAGAAACATTGATGTGCCAAGAGCAATTCATTTGTTCATTGTAATCATGCTCCACTTCTCAAAGTGAGGGGACTTTAGTCATTGGACAATGTAGAAAGGAAATAATACCTTGGATGGCATGAATGGCATCATTAGTGATGTGAGGCAGTTTTACTCCCCCACTTCCCCATTACCACCATGCTTGTTTATATACTGTGGTTTACCTTACTAATTGTCTAATAAAAGCACTTACTGTTGAGTTCTTGTGTATGCACAACATTTAGCTGTACAATCTTGCTTCATTCTCTGGAAATGCAGTTGTGTCTAGTATTAATTTTTAGTTTAATCTTGTTTTTGCCTGTTTTGTTTCCCAGAATGAACTTTATTAACATGCACATCCCCATTTAAGGAACCATGCTTGTTATGCAGAGGTGATCTGGAACAAATTATTGTCACTGTTCTAGGACATTATGTATAAATAGATGCAAACTTTCTGTCCCTTCGCTGGTGGAATTTCCCCTCACCCACTACGCATGGTCAAAAGAGAAGGGACAGGTAAAGTACTTTATCCCCACCTGAGTATCAAGTCTCCCCACATCTTGCCACCTGAGCCTTAAATGTGATTCATAGTTGTGTACAAGGTTATCCACAATTCCTATATTAAAAGCTTCAGAGTATATTTAACCAAACATGATTGAATGTATGCTTTGAGAGTGGAGGGCTTGGAATTGCACCGTCTGATTGCACATTCCCTTCTCTTAGCCTTAGAATGTGGATTCCTGGGCTTTTCTCTCAGTTCGACTGACTTCATTCACTTGGCTCCTCTGACTTCTCTGATCAGAGAAATTAACTGTGTTTAAGGAATGGATCATGTTACAATTGCATTAGCTTTTAAGCTTTTGCTGTTGCTTCTGGCAAGGATTATCCAGAGTTAGGGACAGAAAAGGTTCCATTGTAGTCCACCACTATTTCTCTTTTTACTCTGCCATAACTGATCCCACAGACATTTTGAGAGAGAGACAGAGACAGAGAGAGTTTGTATGGAAAGGCTTGAGCAAGAGATGGTAAGAGGATAATTTAGGTAGACTTTTTGTTAACACACCTGGTTGTCTAAACCAGGAGTGGGCAGAAGGTAAATCAGGGTCTGCTAGTAGATCTTGGGGTAACTTCTTATAGGTGAGCAAGTTGGTCTCAACTCCCAACAGTTTAATAATAGCAGCACCTAAAATACCCCTTTCCCCTAAATTAGACAGTTTGATAGGGGAAAGCTTGGGGGAAACCAGACATGATTTTTTACATGCCAAAAGGACTGTGAGTTTAGTTCTGGTAATGAAAGCAAATTCTTGGTCTGTTATAGACTCATTAATGGTTCGTCCTTAATTCTAAGTGTACATGAGCTCATTGAGCATCTGACTCTGGTTGATAGATGTTGTGATTCCAAATCAAAGATCTGTCAGCCCTGGTGCCTGTCCTCCTATTACAGTAATAGTTATTTCTGGAGTTACAGGAATGAATGCTGCAGACCTTTTAAACATATGCAGATGGTGCTTGTGCTGTTCTTTTTCCCATCATGGAATATGAATGATTTCATACATGGATATTCTGCTGGGTCTTCTGGTGGGAAATGAAACCACCCCCAGATGACTTAGTGTGCAACTGTAGTTTGTAAGCCGTATTAGAATAGCTATCAAGAGTTTTGCAGATTGTTCTTTATTGAAGTGCACCTGTTGCCAGGCCCCATTTGCCTATTTACTCATCTGGGCACAGCTTGTCATGACTTCCAAGCATGAGTGGCATGGATTCTTGCGAGGGGAAATAACCCTCAAATAAGCCATGAGAGTTGCCTCCCCTTCCCCCCCAACAACCATACCACCTGGGCTTGGACAACATTAGATCCATTTACTCCTGGCTCTAGGCTGTGAAGCATGTGGAAGAACAGGCAGGGCCCCAGGATAAAGTGTATGTGCCTGCCTTATCCTCTATAATAGTTTCTCATAGTGAGGAGCTTGCTCACTGCATCAGTATAGAGTCCATCCGGGATCCCTGTGGGCTGAGACCTGTCCAGACTGTAGTTTTGATCAAAAAGATTGAAATCGTACTCCAGGTGCCCCAGACTGGAGTCATTCAGGCATGCCATGAGATGAATTAAGTTTAAGGATATGACATAGCAAAGACAGAACTTGGAGCATATAAGTTGTTGCTGACAGTAGAAGCCTATTTACAAAATGATTAGGAGAGTTCAGTGAAGACTGACTCTTTGAATATTGCCCTTACTGCGCAAAACAAGCTTCTTCTCAACTCATCCAGCTCCTAAATTGCTTGTTTTATTTCTTAGAAAACTAGTATGTCTTCAGGATGGTCATTAGTGTAATGGTATTCAACATTTTGTGAAGTAGCAAGCCAACAGTAACACATTTAAGTATCCTGTATGTGAGTCAATTAGATTACAGACTTTCTGATCACTCAGGATTTCATATTACCTGATAAGGTTGTCAGGTAATATGACAAAGTAGATCAGGCTATAGAGCTCCATAGTATGTCCTAGGAAGTTAATGGATATGTTTTGAAATAATGATGGGTTTGGTTGCACTATCCATTTCCATGCTTTGCACTTAATTTACATTTCCTAGTCTTTACCCAGCTAAAATACATCAAAGAATAAAATACTAACCATCATATGGTGTGTCTGAGCATTGCCTGGGCCATTTGGAAAACATAGCCTGGAATTGCTGGAAAAGAACAAACTGCTTAACAAATCTGTTTGGATCAACTCTGTTGGGATTGCCTGAATTAAACGGTGTTTATTTTTTCTTTTTTGTTTTTGGTGCATGTATTCCAGATCTTTCAAGGAAGCCTGCAGCAGCATAGAAAGAAGGCTGCATTTTCTACCTCTGGCAGACCCAGTCTCCTGCACTGGCTCCCCTGATGGCAGTTGGCACTTCCCTGTGAAACCTGCCAAGCTGGCCGCCACAGCCTTGAACGACTGCACTTTGGCTGCCACTGCACCCTCTCCCGAGACTTCCGACCATGCAGTCCTAGCCTGTAACACAGGCATTCATGAAGAGCACTATGTAAGTGAAGCCGTGGAAAATGAGGTGTCAGACTACAGGGAGTACAGAGATGCCGGCACTATTACTGGTAGGAAACAACATTGACCATTCTATCTCTTTTTGTCCTTTTCCCCTTGGGAAGTTAACAGTTGGCTCTGCTGCATTTATGTATAGAACTATACATAATCATTCATAATCTATTTCATAAGAAGGTTTACTGGCTTACCATCTTGTATCAGATTCTCCCCTTAAGGAAGAACAGACAGGCACAGAGACTCCAGATCAGGGATAGGCAACCTGGTGCCGCCCCCCCCCCGCCCCCCGATGTTTTCGACTACAACTCTTAGACCCCCCCGCCCCCAGCCAGAATGGTCAATGATCAGGTATTACGGGTGTTGCTGTCTAAAATATCTGGAACGCACCAGGATGGTAAGGGCTGCTATAAATAAAACTTGGTGAACTTAATTTAGAGGACTTAATTCAGAGAATAGGAAAATGATGTAAACATCCACCATAGCAGGAAACAGTCACCTTTGAGAACAATTGTTAGCACATAGTGCTGATTAGTTAGCATACCCTTGTGTAAGATGTGTACAAAATTATTTTTGCTTACCAGAATATCTACGCATCAAAATCAGGATGTATTAAAGGAATGGTTAGTTCTTTTAACTAGCCAAATACTAGTCTTAGAGAAATAGTTCCGTTTCACTTTTTGTTTCCAAGTGTACCTTTAACAGTGCACAGTATGGGTACATCTTTTGGTTTCTTTGTGACATTGGATCCTGTGAGAAGGTTTAGCATAATCTCAATATAGCACATGGAATCTGCAGCTCAAGTAATCAAGAAGTTGTCATCTTAGCAGAAGCTGACCCATTTTAGGGCAGGAAGTTTTGCCTTCTGAGGTATGTCATGTCTACCACGGGGTGAGAGTATGTGAGCAGGTTTGGATAACTGATGTGGGTAAAACATTCTATAGCTTATTCTCGTATCCTGCATATGCTGGCTGTGTGGCATTGAATATGAACCCAGCAAGACCTGAACCCAGCAAGGGTCAAGGACAGGTTGGTTTACAGACCACCCTTGTATCCAAGGTTTGTTCTAGGGCTGCAGGGTGATTTAGAAACCATTCTCCCACCCTTTCCAGGTTCAGATGACATGGCAGATCATGCCCAGTGAGGGAAATTATGATAGTTTGGCATCATACAACCAGCATGGAAGAGGGGAAAAATAAGCTATGGCTTTCCCAGTTGTATGAGCCTGCCCTGTACCTTGAGCTGGCTACAGGCTCTGCTTCTGATTATATACCACTGTGACAAGATGGCATGCAGACTGTAAAGATGTGTGAGAATCAGGCAGAGACTGTCTTCCTCTACTGTCTTAGCAGCAGCACACCAGCCTGTTCATCTCTGCTCTCTCTTTGGCTTTGGATGCTGTTTCACACTTCTCAAATGCCATTCTTCCAGGGCTTTCTGTGCATGCGTTCTTAGTCTTTCTGCTGCAAACAGGAAGATAGGAAGGGCTGCAGATTAGGCTATCCTAGTTCCATTGTTGGGTTGGGGAAACTGATTTGTTATTTATGTCCCAGAACATTCTCAGAGGTCTAAAAGGCAAAAGAACTTTCTGTATTCTTTAAGTAGGCAACATTGAGCTTCAGAGAAGAGCTGTTTTTCTGCAGTTGTGATACGTAGCCTAAAGTGCAGTCATGGCTGTAGCTAGTGCCGTATTTGTCCCTTTAAAGCAGGAATGGGGAATGTGTGGCCCTTCAGGTGTTGTTGGGTTACAACTTCCATCAACATCTAGAGGGCCATGTGTTTCTCACCCATGTTGGTTAGACCATTAAAAGTGTCCCTGGTCCATTCCCAAAAAATCTTGACATTAAACTTTCTGTGTGGGTTGTAAATGTGTAAAGATGAAAAGCAATGTACATTCTAAAAAAAAGTAGTACTTATAAAAGCATAGCTGTTATGGCTTTAAAAAGAATCTCAGGTAAGCAGAAGGCTTCACACAAACATGAAGGAATTGAGTTGCTTTTCTTACAAAATTACTTCCGCTCTGGGCATGTTGCAGCAAAATTGTTCTTGTGACTCCTCTTTTTAAGTATTCCCCTGAGGTTAGGAAGAATTTAACTCTGTCTGTTTGCATACCAGAGTAGCTCAGCTCATCACAAATGATCTCTTGATAATGTTCTGTAGAAGGAAGTGCAAATCTTTTCCTTCTTTCATCCTTTAATAAGCTGAAGATGGTGCTCTTTCTTAGCATACGTTCTTTGATACACATTCTTCTTTCATGTCATCCCATAGTGAATCAATGAATGGAGGTTTTGGTATGCAGCACTATTTTCTTACTGAAAGTGGTGTTGCAGAATGGAAGAAATGGAACAAGGAAGGCTGCATTGGCAAACTTGTGATATTCTGTACAAAGTTTCTGTTAAATAGCTGAAATCTGATAATCTCCTTTGGTTTGCTGTTTTCTTAGAGTTCTTTTTGAACTTTTCCTGTGTCCAGGTAACTGGTATATCCATAATGCTCCTTTTTTAAATCTACAAGAGTCAACTTTATGCCCCTGCTGCAAAAATCCTTTCTCATACATTAGCTATTGTGTTTGCCCTCCCAGTCAACTAATTATCTTTATTGCTGGCTTACACTCTTTACTATTATTCTCTGTTTAGCCATTTCTTGAAGTATCTACTCAATACACCTCTCCTTGTCCTCACCCCTTTAGTTTTTGGATTCACTCCTTGGACGCTTGAAATTAATGTGTCATTTTACTGCTCTTCACCTTTGACACTCGTCAAAGGCTGTTCTGCACAATCAGCAGCTCCACATGAAGTAACTCGCTGTTGGACTCTACCACTTCAGATTTTATCAGGCATGAAACGGATTGTTGCCATCCTGTTCAGCACACGTGCATCACTTTTCCTGTTTCTTTATTGGCACTCCCTCTTAGACTAGTCTCTGCTGAAGTTTCAGAAGGTTTTCTGGACCCAAGAAGCCTCCCGTTTGTGACACTTCTTATTCCCGCTGCCTTTGGCACCCTGTTTTGGTGAGGTACAGAGGCATAATTAGTCAATGACTAGTTGAATAATCATTGGATAAGACAAATAACACAAAGGCCCATAACTGTCTTACCCTTATTTGGGTAAGACAAATAACACAAAGACCCATAATGGATGCTAGAAGAGATTCTGAGGTACAGTATGGTCACTGTACGTGTTGCTGCTGCTATGAAACACTTTGTATTTCTCTACTGCTAAATAGTGAGAAAAATTCCTAAGCAGTATCCATAAAAACACTAAAATCACAAACTTTTAAAATGCATTTTAAAAAATGCAACAACAAACATTAATATATAATAATACATATCACTCTCCAGGTTTAGGACACCTATGTTATTTTTGTCATGATGTAGCTGGCATTCAAAATCTTCGGTCTGTTCGTACCTACTAAAGTATTCTTCTTATCTGAGTTTAGCAGTAGTGAGCTCTTAGTGTGCTCAGAAGATTTAAATCCGTGTCTTGAAAAAAATATGTAAAATGACAGCTAAGAAATCACCACTGCTGCCTTCTCTGATAATTCATTAGGCCAACCTTTGAAAAAAGTGTTTCAAAGTAGTATTTAGCAATAGCCTACTAATTTCAGCATGTCTAGATACTGTATATTGCCTCTTTAAACTGCTTATTAAAACTGCTGGGAGATCTGCATTCTAGTCCCACTCAGCCATGAAGCTCACTGGACTACTTTGGGCCAGCCACAGGTGCTCAGCCCAACCTAACTAATAGGGTTGTTGTTGTGCAGATAAAAAGTAAGTCACCTTCAGTCCCTCACAAGAGGAAAAAAGATATGATTTAAATGTAATACAGTGGTGGTGGTGATGATGATGATATAGGCATCATGAAATAGATAAGCGTATAGAATTTTGCCTGTAATTTCAGTTTGTTTTGCCACTTAAAGTTGCTTTGAGAAGGGGGCTTGTTTAAATCGGTTAAATTTAAAAATGCTTTTTAAATTCACAACAGGAATCTCTCTGGAAGTATAAAAACTAGTTTGTTTCAGTTAGGAAGACTTTGAACCATGCACACTTAATTTATTACAGGTTTTCATGTCAGCAGTGTGCAGAATTAAGGTTCAGTGGTCTTCTCTGAAGAAACAGCTGATTGAAATGATGATATTCACCAGATTGAACAGGCATAGATCTTCATTCATCAAATCTATACACACAGTCCAGTTAAATAAAATGTACCAATTTCCATGGATCTGAGTATCAGTTGCTGGTGAATGACAGTAACAGGGGGCTATTGTGTCTTGCTTTGAGCCCTTCCACAGGCATCTGGTTGGATGTGCTGTGAAACGAGATGCTAAGCTAGATAGGACTTTGATCTGATCCAGCACAGCTGTTCTTATATCCTTATCACTTTCTTGTTGGAATGAGCTACAGTGTAGAGGAGGAAATAAATGAAAGAAGAAGAAGAAATGAGACTTAGATAAAAGATAATGACTGGGTTCAAATGAGATAAACATCCAGCATGAGTAAGTGACTATGGTGCGTTGTGTCATCCAAACCTAGTGTCTTTTCTGCAGGGTGGCTTATTTTGGGGGGACGAGCCCCTCTGACCGCCCATGTCCTAGGCATTGACAACCCATGCCATATCCTAGGCATGATGAGTTGTCCAAACCCAGAGAGTGTCAGGATTATAAAGGCTGGCTGTAGAGTCATTCAGCAAGGGATGAAAACCCCCTTCCTGATGTCACCCTTGCTGCCACTAGCGACAGCCTCCTTATCAATCCTCAAGCAGCACCCTTCAAAATGGATGAATGCATGAATATTGGACCCAGAAAGTTGTGCAACTGAATTGCCATTTTTAGAAATTATTTTTGTCAGTCTTTCAAAAGTGCACAAGTGCTTATTTACCCCGTCATACATGTAGTCTTGCCTGATTAATGACTTTGTAAGTATCAGCTGTCAAAGGGAAGCGTAGGTAACAGATTGACAAGGCAAAACTCTGCATAGGGTTATTTCTGCAAAGGGGCCAGGTGTCTAGCTGTCTAACTGAAAAGCTCCAGAAAAGTAAGAGCTCAAATGGCACTCAAG